TTCAATTAATGATCCAAGTGAATTTATATATAGTATCACCTTATTGCTATTCCATTTTTTGGCTTTATAGTTAATGTAAGACTATATAATTTTCATGTGATTTGTGTCAAAATCATCTACATGAGTCATTAGGTATAATGACTCGCCATTCAACTTTCTCTCAACAGTTTAATTCTTTTTTTCTTTACAATATAATCAGTCTTTTCATTTTTTAAAGAAATAAAGTATTTTCTAGCTCTTGCTTGATCATAATAGCTTTGTTTATAAAGAGCATGATGAGCAGTTTATTTTACTAATTATTCGGTCTATTCCCCGTATCAGCTGCTTTTTGATGATTATTTTTATCAAATCGCAGTTAATTTTTTCGACTACCCAATCTACTAGAAATTGTGGTCCCATTTTTTGAAAAATTAGCACACATATTTACTTTAGGCAAAAACAAGGATAAATTGTATTTTTGTAATTTATAGTATTATTTAACCCTGATTTACCTAATGTGAAACCCACCCTGTTCGACAGTGTCGTTACATTTTTAAAAGTATTAAATGATCTAGTATAATAACTAAAAAAAATTGTGTATCGAAACGTAAATAATTGCGATAATTTTAAGTTTCCTCGATTTTAATAATCAAATTTTATTAAATTGAAGTAACATTGAATTAATTTAAGTTTTAATTACTGATACCAAGCATTCTCATGTCAACTTCAAACGTGGAAAGATAATTGACCTTTTAGAGTGGTTTTTCTCCAATTAATATTGTTAAAACTTTAAGCTGTCCTCCACTACAATTAAAACTATAATTAATAAACATAAAAACATGTCGATGCCCATATTTTAGACTAAGATTGCTAAACCAATTAATTTACATGAAAACTCGATTGGCAAAATTTTTTGTGCCGTAAAAAACCAAAAACCTAGTTTTTATTAAGCAAACCCAGACTGAGTGATATGAAAAACTACTTATCATAAAATTTTTGATTAACTTGTGATCGTGTATTCGTTTACAAAGGCTGGCACATTGGGGGCGTCATATAACTATGTCAGGTACCATAGCGATCGATAGTAAAAATTAATATTACATAAATTGATCGACAAAATCGTTATGTTTTACTAGGTGTTCATTTCATCCATTAACGTTAACCTTTTTTTTTCTAGCAAATTTTGAAGAAACAATTAATATACTGTAACAAAAGGATTTACGGTGTAAAATATTTAATCAGTTAGAAGTTTTTAAATGTTATGTTAGGAAGAACTTTGCGTTAGCGATACATACTTCTAAGTTAAAAGAAATCAGCTTTTGTTAAAAAAAATTTAAAACCGTCGCTTCAAAGAAAATTTTTTATCTTATTTCATAATAATTTTATCATCAATTTTTATGCTAGTTTTAGCTCTGAACCTTTTTGAAACTCGAATATGCCTAATCCTCACCAAGTGGGACTTAAAGACCCATCCAAACATGACCGATTCTACTAAAATACATCTTTTGGTAACAATAATAGACGAAATTCAAGTAAATGATGAATAATTAAAAAAATTCTATTTCGCAAGTTTCTCAATTAGATATACAGCAAAAACAAACTGCAGATAATCTCTTTAAGGAAATTTTTTATGTCGTTAAATTTTAATATCAACATAGACGTAATAGTTGTGTAATTTGCAATCAGCAATAATGTGAAAAATACACTTTGATATTGAATTTAATTCAAATTTAATAATAAAATAAAATTAAATTACTTTATAGTGTGTGCCCAAATTATAGTTATCAAATTTTTTGGTGTAAATTAATAGCTTTTCAAAAAAAGCCTTATATACATGTATGATTTTAGCATACATGTATCAGTTATACCGATATGCATGTAATAAACTTGATCGGCAAAAAAAATCTGCACTATTAATTTTATAGCGTTAGAACATGTACAGTACATATATGATGCAGTGGAACCATAACAAAAATTACCAATAATTCACCAACATAGTTTTGATCAGTGTTTTTAAAATACGATTTTCTCATGCTCTCGGAGAATATTTTTATTTGTTTAAGAACAGTGATATTTAAAAAAAAGTTCTTTTATTTGACAACATTTTGTAAGAATGAAATGTTCTCAAAGAGAACATTTGTAAGAATGAAATTTCCCAGAGAGAACATTTGCATTATGAAATAACTGTACTACATCAACATGTATGTAAGAGATCCTAGTTGTGACATTAACACGCTAAAGTGAACATCACAAATAATATTTAAACAACGTTTTTTCGCAACAACGATACAAAAAATGTCATGCTGGTTGGAAGAAGCTGTATCAAAAGAACAAATAAAGTTTTTTAAATTTAATCAATTTTCCAATAAATCAGGAATCGGAAATGGTGCGTTTGGTGAAGTATATAAAGCCGAGTTGAGTAATGATGAAGATTTAACCGTTGCTTTAAAATGCTTTTATACAAAAAATAAAACATATAATGAAGAAATGGATAAATTTATTAAAGAGGTATCATTTTATTTAAGAATTTAATATTTAAATCCAATACTAATGAAAGTCTGCTTCATTCTATAGTTACAAACACTTATTAAAATTACTCATCATAAAAATATTATTCGTTTTTATGGGATTACTCAAGGTATATTAATTGTCTTGTTATTTTCTGAAAACTTTCATTATTATCACTAATAAAAAATATTTAGATCCGATCTCCGAGAAGTACATGCTTGTTTTGAAATATGCTAACGGTGGAACACTCAAAGAATATTTGAGCAATAATTTTAAAAATTTGAGTGGCAATGATAAATTGAGTTTGGCAAAACAACTCGCTAAAGGGGTAAAATGTATACATGATGAAGGCATTATTCATCGAGATTTGGTAAGAAAGCTTCTATATTTTATTATACTATTAAATGGTTTTATAAACACTAATTTTAAATATTTATTAATGCATGTATAAAGAATCATAACAATATACTTGTTCATAACGGAAAAATCAAAATTTCAGATTTAGGCTATTCAAAGCTTTCAAATGATCAATCCCATTCGAAAACCGAATTAGGCTTGATAAGTTACATTGATCCAGCATTTCTAATAGATCCGGAAAATTTTAGACGAAATGAAAAATCAGATATTTTTAGTATTGGAGTATTATTTTGGGTTATCTCCAGCGGTCGTCCTCCTTTTAACCAATACGGGTATGCTTTTTCTTCTTCATCAGAAAAAGAAAAAAGAATTCACGGAACTCCAGGTAAATACGTTAGCCTTTATCAAGCATGCTGGGATGATATACCTACAAACCGCCCAGATATCAACGAAGTAAACGAACAACTTAAAGAAATAAAATGGACAACTGAAAGATCAAATGATGAACATCATTTCAAAATTATTGACGAATTAGTAATTTTATTAAGAAATTTACTCGCCAAAGGTAAACATTTGGATAAAATAGGCGCCGAATTACAATTGTATTACGAAACACACAGTCAGAATTCTTTCGAAATCCATAATTATTTGCAAGCTAATATTCGATATAAGTTATTTTTAGGGTTTCTTTCTCAAACTGGATGTATAGTTGAAAAGAATGTTGAATTAGCATTGGACATTTATGTAGAATTATCAAATTATAACAATCCTTTAGCTCAATACTTGCTAGGACATATCTATCAAAATGGAATCGGAACACAAAAAGATGAGAAAAAAGCATTTGAGTGGTACTTGAAATCAGCAAAGGGTGGCGACATAACAGGGCAATATAATCTTGGTTTTTGTTATCAATATGGAATCGGAACACGAAAAGATGAGAAAAAAGCATTTAAGTGGTACTTGAAATCAGCAGAGGGTGGAAATGCTGGAGGACAATGTAATCTTGGTTGGTGTTATCAAAATGGAATCGGAACACAAAAAGATGAGAAAAAAGCATTTGAGTGGTACTTGAAATCAGCAGAGGGTGGAGATGCATTAGGACAAAGTAATCTTGGTTGGTGTTATCGAAATGGAATTGGAACACAAAAAGATGAGAAAAAAGCATTTGAATGGTATTTGAAATCAGCAAAGGGTGGAAATGCTGAAGGACAATTTATTCTTGGTTCATGTTATCAAAATGGAATTGGAACACTAAAAGACGAGAAAAAAGCATTTGAATGGTACTTGAAATCAGCAGAGGGTGGAAATGCATTAGGGCAAAATAATCTTCGTGTTATCGAAATGGAACCTAAAAATTTATTTTTTATTAAATATTTAAATAATTAAAATTTGTTTTAATAAATACTAACTAAAATTTATTTTTAATCTGATTATACAAATAATTTTTGATCAGAATTTAATATAAACCTTGAATTTTTATCAGATTATAATTAAATTAATTTTTTATAAAATAATAATATTTATTTAAAGCTATGAGCAGTTAGAATTTTTCAGAGCGGTTTTGATGTAGCGCATGTTATATCACGTGTATTATTTGATTGGCTGAAATTCACTCTATCAATAATCAAAGAACATTGAGAACGTAAATATTTTAAATTGTGTTCTCTATGAGAACTTTTGAGAATATAAAATCTTGAATATATGTTCTCTGTTAAATATATTTTCAAATACATCTACAAATCAATTTTATAAAAATTTAGTTCTTACTAATTTTGCATATTTATTAACTAAAGCGATACAAATTGATCAAAGTTCACAAAACTAAACTGAATAATCATGATAAAGACAAAAAGTTATTGCATATACTGTTATTCCAATTACATATAGCAATATTTGTTTGAATTATTATAAGGACTGATTATAGCTTTCTGTATTTATGTTCCCCTATTCTTTATACATGTACATGTACGTACATTATACATGTATGCGTAGAGTTTCATGTAATCTAATGTTTTACATGTTTGTGTGCTTGAAAAATTGTCAAACTTTTTATTTTTGGGATAAAATTTGTTTTAAGGAAATAACGAAAACTAAAGTTATATTAATAGCAATAGGTATTTCTTCACTATTACGTATTAAATACATATAAGATTTTTTCAATTCAAAATTAAAGGTTTGAACCCAATTGAAGCTTTAATCTGACTATGAGTATCCTCTTCAACAGGCGCATTTGTATCTTCCCATCCACATCCGCTCAGACCATTCACCAAACAAATATAAAGATCCTTGGAATAACCTTTCTCCGAATCTTCATGCACATAATGTACGGCATGTGGGGCATGACATTTAGGACATGTGAATGAATCGGTACTTAGTGGAGTGATTACATCATGAGTGCCAAGTAATAAATATGGATGAAGAGGTTCAAGAAGATATTCCACGTGGTCTTCATGAACAATAACTGAGTTTGGCGGAAGTTCTGTTGTCGGCGTACGTGAAAGTTTTGGACGAGCGATAGTAGGATTGACCGAAGTAACAACGGCAGGTGCAACTGAATCGTTTATTGTTGTTGCTGTAGTAGATTTAATTGGTGATTTTGTTGTCGACGTTTTAATCGCATTTTTTGATTTAACCTCTTCATTATTATTGTCATTGACGACTAAGGAAGGTGAGTTTTTAGCAATAATAACTTCGTCATTTTTTGGAGTAAAAACTGATAGCACTAAAATTGAGATTAGAAATTAATATGTTTTCTAAAATTGTAGATTGAAAATAAAATCAACATACAAGTAGTAGTCATCCTCTCGTTTTTGTTTTTGTCTTTGTTGTCTTTGTTGTTACTATCAACTTTACGAAGTTTACGTGTTTGAAGCAGTCCAAGTGTAGTTTTCTAAAATTATTTAATATATAACGATTGTTAATATCTACTATGTTTCAGTTCTTGAGACATGTATCGAATTTATAGATAAAAATAAGGATGAAATATTAACAGTTTCAAACGTAGTACATGTACGCCATATACATAATTAGTAATTTAATCGATGTCATAATCAATATGCGTTAGAAAGAAGGGGATATTGCACAATTGAATCATAATGCATGCATATACATGTACGTGTACTTACAAACACTTCCATTACTTGTAATTTAATCGCACGTTTCTTGCGCTTGGAGCTTTCTTTGGTTGTTTTAGAGTTGTCAGTACTGGTATTTGACAAAGTTACTGTTGGATTAAAATAAGCTGGCATGCTGTTTTTCTCTTCCATTGATGAAATCTTTTAGTTAATAAATAACGACTATCGATTTTTTTAAAATATTGTGCGTTTTTTTATAGTAGATGTAATAAATAATAATTATATTTAATCTATTAACGTTAAATATTTCCTTTTCGAACAAATCATGTATTATCGTTGTGGAAATAAAAATGACTTCAAATAATATACATGTATATATAAGATGCGAAAAGTTTCCCAATACCGAAAAAAATAAATAAAAAGAAACGAACGAGACGGCCAAAAACCACAAATTGACGTGAGAAACAGAAACTTAGAAAACTCACGAACGAGAAGAGCAGGGAGTAAAGGGGAAGTTGTTTATCAAACCTAGTTGTATTTATACGTGCGTAGAAATATATTTCTTTATTTTGTTACATAACACCAGCGTTAGCACTTACTTGGTTGGATATTTTCAGGTGATATTTGAAATAGATGAAATCAGGCAACATAAACCATCTCGTAATAAATTTTCAAGATCGTGTATCGTAAATTACGCCACTTTAACATATATATTTCATTTAGAAGAGCGATACATCATCACACATCTATCATTATCGTTTTACCAGTCAGTTGATCCTCTCACGGTCAGGCATCAGAGACATTATGTCTGTGCATGGGAATTTTAAAATCTCATGCCTGCTGACATAAATAAACTCATTGATGCGTTTTAATACATGTACATCCCGATACCGATACATGTGTTCAACAATAAATCCGCAGCAACTGTAATTGACTTTTTAAAATACTAATTGGCCATAACTTATATGCTATTTTTTATTACTTGAAAGAAATATATCACACAAAAATATGTGTAATCTGCATTATTCTTTTTCAAAAATTATTAATGATTCCATTGATTCCGTAGACATGTACATGTATATTTGCAACTGATTCAAATACAGAATTATACTTCAGTAAGGAAACACAAAAAAATCAAGTGAATTTGAAACTTGCAAATCAAAGACTACTTATAAAATTTTGTTATTTTTTTATCCAAAAGCTTAACATTTCAAGTATCTAAAATTTTTATTAATATTTTCTTATTTAGCTTGGTATCTAAATTTTAATACTGCCCACAATAATATGCTAGGTCACTGTATTATCAAAGATACTTTCCTAACACTTACGCTACGAATAAGAAACAGCTCACAAGCTGACGACGTTTTTTGTTCACATGCATATTGTTAGTTGGCGCCTATGCTCCTCATTGCCAATGGGCATGTAATTTCAAAATACCTGTAACATGGGAAACCGTTTTAAGTCCGGAGCGAAATCGAGAATTCCAAGATAGTATGATCAACATATTTTTTTTCTTATTTTGGATTACACGTGTATGTATTATTTAATCTTATTAATCTTAACTACCAAGGGACACGGAAAAATCCATATAATGGGGACAGCATAAACCATCTACTTTAGTGATGTCACACAAATCGAGGAATGAAGGGTGGGACAAAATTTTTTTTAGCCAAATGTAGCTTTTTGACCGGCTACAATTTGGCTAAATTTTTTTTTCGAATTTCCTTTTTTTTCCGAGTTATAACCCTTGAAAGTTACCTAATTTATATTAGTAGTCCAGCGACATTGGCCACTATGTAAAAGGTTATCTCTGGCCATGATCATGACAAGGCTGTCAAAAAGGAGGCAGAATCTGGATTCAAACGAAGAGTATGAAAGCGATAATTCAGACTCGGCGAATCAATTAACTCTAAGTGCTCGAAGTCGACGATGTAGAGCTGAATAATGACGAACGTGCGCGCTCAATCTTCAACCTTTTACTTGCTGCATCTAAGAAAAGCAAACGCAAGATATAACGTACAAATTGTAAGTATTCATTGCCAAAATTAATGACAATGCTTCCAAAAGCATTTGATTCTATTTCATTAGAAACAATTCGTGCTTTTGCAAGATTATCATTTAGATGGATGGATTCATATTGACATGGATTAACAGGCAATGCTGCAAAAATATGCAGTTAAAAATATAAGTCATTAATGAAGGAATTATGACTAATATAAAACTAAATTACTTTTGTTTAATAAATCACGTGACTATTATTTTACATAATGAAAATTTGGCCACTGAAAAATTATATAGATGATTTATGCCGTCCTCCACTGTATAAATGTATCATGATATCGGTATAAAACGAAAATTTGAGACAAAACGAATTTTATAAAGATATATAAGAAAGTCTTTTGCCAATTTTGTATAACAAAAATTAAAAAATTTGTACATATATAACTTTTTTAGAATCAGATAATTAAGTTATTTTATATATAATTTGATATTGTTAATATAAAATTTTATACATAAAATTACAAAAAAATTGTCCAAAGACTTTCTTAATGCACTGTATATTACAAAATCGTTTTATACATGTATGATTATCCCATCCATTTTATGAACAAAATTAACAATTTTTTTAATGAAAAATATCTTCTAAGCAAAAACGAATAGCTGCGAATATTTTAATTATGACAATGGGATTTTATTATGTAAGTTTTGTAGTTATTCAATTAAATGGGAACATAAAACAATTATTCTTTCGCATATTAATACAGCAAGTCATAAAAAATTAAAAGAAAATCATAATCATGTACGAACAACATAATAAACGTTAAATTCAACACTAAATAATAATGAATTCAAAAAAATAATTATTACAGAATTTATTTGCTTACTCGTTTCTATTCATATACTTATAAATATACTTATAAAATATATTATTATAAATATTAAAAGATATTAGAAAGCTCAGTTAAAATTTGAATTTGATAATAATTGATAAAAAAAATCAAAAAATCGTATAATTTATCAATTCAGTAATTATTTTTTGAATCTTTTTAAAAATTTTTATAGAACTTTGAAATAATATAAGAAATTCTGAGCAGTAATAATATTAGCAATTTTAAGTAATAGCAGTAATATTTATAAGTTAAAATATAGTAAAGAATATTATTATATAAAATATATAAAAATAAATATATTAATATAAATTAAAGAAAACTATATTATTTAAGAATAATACAAGTTAATAATATTTTAAATAAAATAATTATGATTTTAAAAGAAATTATAAAATTATTATAATTATTATTATCATTATCTTCTTTTTTAATAATTCATAATTTTTACTGTTTTTTTATTATTTATTTTAACTTTTTCATTTCTTTATTAGCTATTTCTATTTAAAAAATAAAGAATGTAGCTTTTGTAATCTAATAATACTTTATTTATTATAATATTATAACTCAAAACTTATAAAGTTATCAATTTAGTAATATTTGTTTATTATAATATTATAATAATTATAAAATTTGTTTTTTTATTCCTGTTATTATTTCTTGTATAACTAGTTCTTGATTTTTTATAACTTAATAAATATCATATTTGTAAATAATAATTAATATACAGTGATGACCAAAAGTAATGACTCAGGGACTAAATTTACTAATAAAACATAGTGAAAATTGAAATTTTCACTATGTTTTATTAGTAAATTTAGCCTCTGAGTCATTACTTTTGGTCACTACTGTACTTTAAGTAAATTCAAAAGTATTACTTATTATAAAGATATAAATATAACTTGATATTAATTTATTCTTGTATTTGATATTAAAACTTAATAAATATTAATATTATAATTATTAATATAAATAAATAATATATTCTTGATAATTTCTTTTTTTTAAATTACTTAAATATTAAATATTTTCTCTTTTATTCTAATTATTAAATAAAATAAGTAAAAAAAAATATAAATATTATTAAGCTAAAATATATTTTAAATAGTTTTAATAATTTTTATTTATTAGCTTATTTGTAAAATTATTTTGTTAATAGTTGTAAACAAGATAAAACATAATATGATTAATTTTAATTTATAAACCTATGATTTTATTATTTGAATAATATTCAGAATTGAAGTTAATTGAGAGAATATATTTATAATAAAATAAAATAAATATAAAAGTAAATAAATTAATAATAATTTTATAATTAAAATAAATATGATTAAATAAATTAATTAACTTAATTCATATTTTTAGAAGGTAATTAATTATAATCTAATAAATTATAAATATAAATAATAATAATATATAAATAAATATAAATAATAATAAAAGAAAATAAGTAAAAATATAAAGAAAATATTAATTAAAAATATAATTAAAAATATTAATAATCTAAATTAATAATAAAAATATACATAATAATTATCTATATAATAATATAATAAATTAAATATATAGATAATTATTTATATATTTAATATAAAAATAGTCTTTAAATAAAAGTAATATAGAAATTAATTTATTATACAAATAATATAAAATAAAGATCTAAAACTATAAAAGAAAATTTAATCAAAATTATTATATTATTATTTTTATTATTTATTTTTTAATTTATTAATTTATCTATTATTTTACTACTTTTTTATTTATTATTTTACTTATTATTTTATTTATTATTTCATTTTTATTTTTTATATTATTTTACTATTTCTTATATTATTTTTAATTAGTAAATTAATATTTATAATAAATTTTTATTAATAATAATAAATAATAAAGAAAAATATAAAAAAATTATTATTCTTATTATAATTTTTTTATTTTTTATAATTTAGTATTATTATATTATTTATTTTTTAATAATAAAATAATAAATATAAGTAAATATTAAGTAATAAATTCAGACTTAATATAAAAAAATATTAAGTAATAGATTTTAATATATAAAAAAATAATTAAATAAATTAAGTTAATAAAAAAATTAGTTTTTATCAATAAACTTCTTAATTAATTTTAAAAAATACTTATTTTTATTAATTTTAAAAATTAAAAATTAATTTATAAAATTTAAATCTTTTTTATATTCTTTTATATAATAAGTATATAAGAAATAGTAAAGAATTAATTATAATAATTTTTATTCAAATTTCAGAAAATATTATCAAGTATTAAAAAATTATTTTTTGAAAA